CGTTCTGTTTTGGGCAGTTTTCTGCCGTTATCGATTTAACGGGAGACATCTTTTTCATTCGAACTCTGCAGGGATTCCTGCAAATAATTTCTCCTGTTCATTGATTATGAAATCAGTTTTTTTCGATATGATATTGCTGGAGAGATGAAGATTGGTCCCATAATTTTGATCAATAAATTCCTATTTTTGCAGATTTAAATTCTGTTATTAATTATGTGTCATTTCCCCCTCCCCTATATAGGCTCAATTCTGATGTCTTTTAAGAAGACTTTTGTGAGTAAAAGTGAGAGCTTGCTTAAAATGATGTATTTTACTCTCTCTCTAATCCATAATTTAATAAGTATTTTAAAAGAAACTTTTGGTTCAAAATATGAAATGCTGACAGAGTAATTAATGATAGTTTTAGGGAGAGTTTTACATGTATGAGAGAAATGAGAGAATTTTTTTAAACACATCCTTTGATAAGAAAAAAATTGGTAACTTATATTAATTTAAAATTCATATGATAATTTAGGTAATTTTTTTTCTTGTAAAAAAGCTTAACTAATGTCTTACGACAAGAGGGAGTAGATCTGTAATCACATTTAATCTAAATCCAAAATACAATATAAATGCATTATAAGGAGACTTTTATTTAGCACCATGATAATTGAACTACTATTTTAACTAGTTTAATAATTGGTCTGGTTTTTTTGTTACACCTATTTTATTACCCCATTATACATCAATTGGAACCAAGATAATGCATTTCCCAACGTTTTTGAGTAAAAAATTTTAATTTCAAAACTTTGTATATAAGTCTGTCCGTACACTGTTTATCCAATTTTTGGTCAATTCTGAAAATTCATAACTAATTCTTAAAAATCAAAATGAGGTGGTTCTAATTTTTTGTGGAAGCTTACTAAGAGTTCTTTAGAGAAAAAATATTCATCATACTCAATTCAATCCAGAACAGCACCAGAAAATTTGATAAAGTGCACTGTTTATATAGTCAATTTTTGAATTTTTAGTATTTTAGCTGGTAAGGCATAACTCTTAGCAAAAAACTCTAAATTTGATGGTTTACCACATGATATAAAACTTAAAATGAGGTCTAAATGCTTGCAAAATCTCAGGTCCAGATTTCATCATTTGCTTATTATTTTATGTAACACAAATTTGATCTTATTTAGGATATTTTTATCCCCTTTTTACCATTTCCTTGAATTTTGTTTTCCCTTTTCTTTTTTCATACCCTTTAGACATTCCACCATTCCATATTCCAACATTAGGACATGTCATAAAAATATAATTTACATCATATCATCATCCAAACTCATTACAAACTTAAAAATAAAATTTACTAAAACATTACATAACATTCCAAAATAGCATAATGCTCATAAAGCTATCCCAATATCAATAATTGATAAATAAATTGACATGTGGGAATGATGTTTCATGAAAATCTCAGTAGCAATTGAACTATAATTATCATGTAAATCGAGCAAGTTACAATGTGACATGTTATAAACTTCAAAACATCCTCAAGCCACATAAAATCATGCTCAACATCATGCTAGGCGAGGAACACCAATACTTCCACAATAACAAAGTTCAATGCATTTGGCCAAAGTATAATCCAAAGTCATCCAATCAAACAAGATCACAATACAAATTCCTCAATCCAAGCAAGCAACAAATCACGTTAAATAAGCAAGATAAACAATCAAGTTATAATTCAATGCTACCTTTCAAGCTTAACATTTTTCAGCCTCCTTGAAGATATTATCCTCTCCTTGTATTCCCTTTACAAAACCTAATGATTCAAGCATAAATACAAGCTAGATTGATAATTAAACAACTTAAACACAACCCTTTAACTTTAATTTAATAGTTTTCCCCTTTTTCTTGAATTTTTTAAAAAATAGTTTCTTATTTAGAATCAATGATCTCTTGGCTCAATCCTACACAATTTTTTGTGAAAAATTCAAATATTCAATCAGATTTTTAAAAATCAAATTCCTTCCCTCTCAAGTTACAATGGCCGAATAGGGGGTATATGACTTCTAAAATTTTAATTTTTGATTCCAATAATTTTAAAGACTTTCGTTTAGTATATCCTTACACAAAAACAAATTTTAAACCCATTGGAATTATCAAATCAGGGTGAATCAAGCTCCTATCCCAGGAATAGTGCTTGGCTGAAATGAAGCATAGAAAACCCTAACTTGAATTTCTTCCAAAAATCAATCCAAACACCTCTTAAACATGCTTATTCCACTTGATATTTAAGGTTTCTACCCTTCTCTAAATATCACATGATCAGACCAAAAATTGGGCAGCAACACCACTTGATTTTTCGAGCCAAAACCTTAACTAAACTAGTTTAAAACTTAGGGATATGAAGGCTTGAACATACCTTGATGCTTCCTTGATAAAAATTGAATGATTCCTTGCCCAAATACCTCTCAAATTCTGGTCTCCTTGGTCTGGACACAAAGTGGCAGCACCTCCCCCTCTTTTTCTAATTTTCTAACATTTTTTCTTGTAATTTAGGGAGGGGTACTTACAAACAAACAAATCAGCCCCCTTCTCCCTCTTGTTGGACGTCCAAGATGCCACATAATCAGGGTATTTGGCAGCCATCAACAGCAAAAAGGTTCAGGTCTATCCATGTGTCCCAATTCTAAATCTTTCCAACAATTATCCGCTAATTTTAGAATTTTATTTAATTAAAATGATAGAATCCAGGAGCTGCATGAAATTGAGCTTTAATTGGGCCTAATGTGGACCCTATAAATGGTTTAGATTGGTCTAAAAAGATGGCCCACAAACCAAATCAAAATCCCAAAATCATTTTGGAACTTTATCGGTTACTATTCACTAGCAACATTTCATAATTTTTTCAGACCTCAAAAAATTCATTTCTCTTCATGATATTTTACCTTTTAATATAAGAATATGATTTAAAAATTTTTAGAATTTTTTGCCACCTCCAGATATTTATTTTGAATTTTCTCTGATTAGGCCTTTATTAGTGTCACTGTGAGAAAATAAATTCTCTAAAATTAATTTCTGAGTTCCCAAGACATAAAAATAATTTTATAAATTAAAAAATATTTATATGATTTTTTCATATTCTTTCTAGAGTTATTGAGGCATTTAACTAATTAAAATAATTATTTTCCTATGATTTCCCAATATTTTTCTGAAAAACCTCTATTTACAGGAAATTTCATAACAATTTATTTTTATAATATTTCTACCTTTCAAGTCTCAACTGAGTTTCCAAAATCTCTAAATTGTATTTTTTTCATTTTTCAGAAATTTTCTAGAATGTTCTCAAATTTTTCCGTTTTGCCTCTCTTAGACCGATAATTATGAAAATATTAGCCTAGTCCTTATCTGGATTTTACATCAAAAGTTGTTCTGTCTCCCTATCTAGTTTCTACATTGGCTCTTATTTTAATTTTTAACTTTCTATGTCAAGGTGAAATTTCTCGGGATGTGACATTTTTATTCCTTGGTTTTTTTCTAACTAATATAAAGTTTAGAAATTTTCTATATTTTATTCTTAATCTTATAATTTAGAATTTTTGAGTAAATTGTTCATTTGTAGTTGCTTATTTAGTAATCTTTTATGTATTAGCCTAAGAAAATAAGAAAAGCAATACTGGACAAAAATGTGAAATGCTCATTAATGAATTGAACTCAAACAATGGCCAAAACATTGAGTTGAATATTACGTACCAATTAATGGTATTAGAATTCTGATACCACATGGTGAGACCGAATGTTACATACCAATTTTTATATTAGTTTCTACAATTTGATTTATATATTTTTTTTAAAAAATCATTTTGAGAAAATTTAAATTCACTTAACACACACTTAGAAAATAAAACTCTTCTTATATGTTCAATTTGCATAGTATAAAATTATTTAAAATAAGTTATGCAAACTTTGTTTGATTTATTTAAAATTACTTTAATTTTCTTTTTTGGTTTCTAGACATACATAATCTTTTTTTTTAACACAGATATATAATAAGTTATAAAAGAATCTCAGGTTTTACTAAAATTAGATAACATTTGATTTTGATCGTATTAATTTTAAGAATAAAATTCTAATTTTGTATTGATTGAATAATTCAATAAATATTTAAGCTTGTAAAATTTGAGAGTTAATTTAATAAAATTTATAAATTGCTAATAGTTTTAATTTATAAACAAAAATATATGAGAGAAATAGGGAATGTGAGAGGAAATTTAAGAGGTGTGATTAGGGGCAACTTAGTAAAATTAAATTTGTATGTTAATATCTGGTCTTTTTAAATAATTATAATTTTTTCTGATTCTCTCTAATAGATATTATCTTTTCTAGATCTTTCTCACTAATTTTCCCTAAATTATATAGCAGTGAATTTTTAATTAATAATATTACTAAGAAATAAAGAATCACACAAATTTAAAGTCAAAATAATAATAAAATTTTAGTAAAAATAATAAAATAAAATAGAATATTATAATAAAAATAAAATATAAAATATATAAGATAAGTAAAAATAATAACTGCAAATAAAATGATGAATCAAATAAGCAATATTAGACACAAAAATTATTATTTGATATGAATTAATTAAGTTCAAAATATTTCTGTTCTTAAATAAAAAGACATAGATTTAAAAATCTCTTATCTCACAAATAAGGAAAAACTTATCTGTCCTCGTCCTCCTTTTGGTCCTTATTGTTTCTCACTTTCTTTCCATTTTTCCGACAATATTTTCTTTCTTAGAATCTAAAGCCCATGAAACATTTGAAAGAAAATAATAATTAAATACTTGGTAACTTTTGCAACAATTTAAATTAATTATAAAAGTAGTAATTAAAATGAGGAAACAAAAAAGCATGGCTCCCGCTGCAAAAAAAGAAGAAGAAGACATTTTTAATGGTTCTATTTTTTTATTTTATTTTAATGTTTGGCATACTTGGATTTAAATTTATGAGTACTTTTATACTTTAACTACTACTACTGCTGCTGCTGCTGCGACCCCGACCACCACGACCACCACGACTACGACCACCACCACGACCACCACCACCACCATCATGACTACCACTACCACCACCACCACCACTACCACCACGACCACCACTACCACCACTACCACCACTACTACCACTACCACTACCACTACCACTACCACTACCACTACTACCACCACTACTCCTGCTACTGCTGCTGCTGCTGCGCTATTTTAAAAGACATCTCATTTGTTTACCTTTTTTTTCCCCTACAACTTTCAATTTTTACTAGTTACTATAAGGAACAATTCTAAACTAATAAGCAAAAAAAAAAAAAACTAATTTTGAAATTAAAAAAAAACCCCAATTCATTGTACTGGTGGGGAAGTTGAGGCAGCTTGTGCAGCATGGGAGGCTGGAGCGGTCATTGGGATAGGACATTCAAAAACACGTAAGCACCTTTCTATATTCCTGAGTTTGAGGGTCCCAACGATGTACGTGGAGCGCAAGCTTAAGTATATCCTGTCCCTTTCCCTTTTGGTAATTGTTAAAATGTCATTCTTTTTAAGTGGATATGCTCCAATACGTCCTTCCAACCAAAATTAAATAACACATGCTTCTTTATGTCAATAACAAAGAAAATGTTTGAAATAGATAAAAATGATAAAATAAAAATTGTCAAAAAATTATATTAAAAAAAGTAGGGCTAAAGAGAATAAAGAAACCATGTCAGGAAATGATAAACAGAGTTTTGATACCAACTAGTGAGATTGAATAATTTATAAACATATTTAATGGTATTAGAATTCTGATACCACTTAGTGAGACTGAATGTTACGTGCCAATTTCTTTTAAAATTCATGCATAAGCAACATGTATATATGCACTAATAATTTATTGGTAATTTGAATTCAAATATGCTATACAAGAAGTTGTCCCAGATAAAAATAACAAATAAAGAAGTTAGCACATAACTACATTATTTTTCATTTTGCTTTTGCTAGACATAACTACTTTATTTTTATGGTTCTTGTTATTTATGCTATTATTTTAGTGCTTTGATCTTGTTTTCACTTTTGCAGTACCAGAGGATTATGCAAATATGGCCTCCAACTCTCTGTCACAACCCACAAAAAGAAAGAGGGAGAAGCGTGATGATTACAAGTTCTTTTTTCCTGTAATTACAACTAAATCAATGATGAAGCATAAAGAATTGATAAACTTAAAAATTATAATTTTATAATAATTAAAATATTACTTTTTTTAACATTCTGGTAGGTAATTGAAAAAAAAAATTGTTTAGGAGGCTAATACAGAAAAGAACTAAAAGTTAATCCAAAACTTTATTGCAGAAGCTGTTGACAAGGGTGGCAAGCTAAAACAGTGGAGGATCTGATTTGATCAAATTAATTTTGAAGGAAAGAGAAAGATAAAGATAAAGGTTGAGATGTTTTTATAAAGAAAAATAAAAAGAAAGAAACTGATTTAATCACACTTGAAAAAAGGACAAGAAGAAAGCAATTTTTTCTGTACATTTAAACAATTTTAATAAGGTCTTATATAAGGTCACTATCTTACTTTCACTGCAATAAAGGTGAAGAAGAGATAAGAGGTTAGGAAAATTTTGCCTTAGATTTTTTTTTTTTGCTTCAAAAGTATTATTTCAGCCATCAATATAAAACTTCTAAATATAATTAAGTGTGTGTGAGTTTGTGTTGCATCACCAATAGCTTTAAACATTCTTTTAGCATGTCATCAAACTTACATAGTCCTTATCATTGCAAACATTCATTTTACAGCATTATCCTTAAATTTGAAATTTTTTTGATTTCAAATATACTAAAAAATATTTATCTTTAATATATCTCGAGCTTCATGAATATGGTTTTGACCACCATATTAGAGTCTCTAGATATTTTTTTAACAATTTATTAGAATACTTATTCAGCATTTTGACATAAAAACAACAGACTTCTCATATTTTCTTTTTAGAAAAAATTGAAAAGTTGTTTACCACAACTATTTTAGTAGGAAAAGAGGACCCAGGCCCAAGACCAAACCCAAACAAAATCATGAAAACCTAATTAGAACCCAACACTTTTTCAACAATCAACAGCTATAATAAATTTTTAATTTTCATGGTTAACCCCCCAAATTTATTTTTAATATATTCTGTTCTAATGATTTTTTATCATTTGTCGAGTACACGAACATGATGATTGTCACTGATCAATTAAACAAAATATTCTAGTTTTTGGATAGGTAATAGCTATATTCAAACTAAGATTATTTTAAATATTTTGATATCTTTCTATTTCCCACTATTTTTTATTATCTTCTGACAATCCATTGGTCATTAAAAGTTAAAACCAATCCACTGTTCGAGATTTTCACTTTTATTTTAGTTATGATGATCACGAGTGGCTGCCCCCAGTTTTTGTGAATGATGCAGTTCATTGGGTTGCCTATCGTCCACGTGATTTAAAGGACAGATTTATTTTATCATTTGATGTGACCGAAGAAACATTTGGAGAATCAAGATCACCCCAACAATCGAGTGAAGAATCTTTGGTATATATTTCAAGATTATTTGTTGTGGAAGGAGGCCATTCACTTGGTGTGGTGAATCACTCTCTAGAAGAGTACCACTAATGGGTGTGCAGTATTTGGGTGGTGAAAGAATATGGTGTTGCCGAGTCATGGACTGAAATATTACATTGTGATTCAGATTGTTTTGGGAGCATACGTAACATATTGGCTCTAACTAGCAGTGGAAAAGTAGTCATGCGTATTAACAGTGGAGCTATAGTTTTAGTTGATCCAATCAAGAAATCGGCGGATCCTCTGGAACAAAAGGAATATTTTGAAGCTTATGCTGGGTGTTATGTTGAGAGTTTGTTTTTCATAAATAAAGATCCTAATATTTTGTCTTTCTAACAATTATTGAAAGATTTTGTTCTTGCAAGTGCAAGATTAGATTTTCTACTCTGCTCAATGCCCAATATTTTCTCATAAGTTTCATCAGTGTAATTGGCTCTCTTTAGGCGTATGAAAAAAAACCTTTCTAAAAGAGGCAATACTCATTTTCATAAACTTCATTAAGAGGGCTACTCTGTTCGGCTGCCACATGGCGAGCTTTTGAACCAAAACAATGGCGCAGCAATTCATCTCCTAACAAGGTAAACTTATTTCTTTTAATAAAAACATGAAGTTACACTTACCAGCCAATCCCTAAATAACAAAAATGTGTTTATATTTGATATAAACTATTCTTATATATAGCACGTAGCACGTTTTTGGAAGATATGTGAGATATTTGCTAGGGCTTTATTTGCGGGTTAGGACATTAGGTTTCTAATTCTTCAAGCAGTTGCTTGCCTTTTATTCTTTTCCCAAGAAAAAAAAAAAAATAGTATGAGATTCTTAGGCAAATTACAGAAGATTGAAAAGAAACTTGTTTATGATATCGACTCTTCGGTCAAGTTGAAAGATTATTAAATCTTAATTATTTGCATTTAGCCCATACTTTATCATGTAACTTGCATACAAAAACTGAAGATCATTATGCTATTTCCAATTGCTATTAACCTTCTCTTAACTCGAGATGTCTCAGAGTAATGTATTAAAAGTCAGACCGGATGTTAAATTAGAAATGTTAGCGTTAGTAGTTCACAGTTCTTATGCTCTAACCAGTTAGATCAATGATCAAACCAGTGGCATATTAATTAAATAAAAACTTGATATTATATATAATAATATATATATAAAATAGAATATCAAATTATTAAATAACATTTAAAAACTTATAAAGACTAATTTTAAGGTTAATTGTGGTTCAACAGGTCATTCTAATGATATTTTATTAATTTATCCATCTTATAAATTAATGTTTATATTTTCTTATGGAGGTGTGTAAATATGATCACCCAAAATTTCTTCCAATCACCACCAAACATTGATTTACCATTCATTTATTATAATAATATATTATTAATTTATTCATTGTATTTGAATGTGAATATAGAGGTGAGTAAAGGAATGTTTGTTAGCCTCATTCTAGTCACGTGCTCTGGGTACCAAAATTAAAACTTTTCGTTTTTTTTTTGGCATCATATAAGGCAAGCTATAGCTTGAAAACCCACTTTTAAGAATTCCTAACACCACCTGTAGGACATCCTTCCGCTATATCCATCTGTAGTCTGTCTCGGCACTGAGAGAGGGGCTCCCAAATCAAAACTACCTTCTCATCATTTTGATGTGCTCTCATTGCCAAGTAATCTGCACAGCGTATTGCATTCCTGGAGGCATATTTCAGCTCTATATCTCCACCTGAGTCTAAGGCATTTCTGATCATGGTAATCTCGTCCCTCAGACAGCTTTTCGAAATCACTCCTTAAAAAGAAGCACAATGTGAAAGTGCGGGAAGCAAAAGTAACACCACATAGGGTCCGTTTTGATGATTGGAGGTAAAAAAAAATTTTATTTTTAATATGGTTTTTAGAAAAATCAAACAGGATAAAATGTACATTGGGTAATGTGATTTATGTTTAGATTGGCTTTCATAAAAGTTACTATCTCTAGTTTTTAATATAAGAGCTAATTGACTAATTTAAATAGATTAAATAAGCCTGTTAAGTTAGTTATTTACAATAAATAAGCGTTGTCTTTTTTAAAATATCATTGCTAATCAAGCGTATTGGCTAAAATTACCATTATTACAATAACTACCTTGAAGGAAATAGATAATTATGAGAGACAAAGTAGATTAGGGTCTTATATTTAAGACCAAAATAAAAGTCAAACGAGTTTTTAGATTAAGGACTGGATATAGTAGTTTATAAAGTAAAAAAGTTTTTGAATTATGATTAAATAAGTTTCTTTTGTGAAAGTAACCAAAATGGACATGATTTTTATTAAATAATAAGAAATGATTGAAAAATAAATTTACCAAAAATAATATTTTAAATTATGATATTAGGAAGGAGTTAATTTAATGAATAAAATATGTTTAAATTAGAAATCATAGTAATGTGAAAATTTTTTAACCAAATAATATTAGGTAATTAATTAGATAATATACGCTGCACAATTTGTGTAAGCATAAAATGAAAAATAATATTAAAAATATTATAAAAATTGTTTTAAAAATTATTTTTTATTTTAAAGAGCATTAAAAATAAAAAAAAACTAAAAATTGACTGGGGAAACACAATGAATATCTAAAGAGAGGTATAAGAAGAACATAAATATGAGAATAAAAACGTCTTTTGATTTTGAAAAGTAGCTTTTGCATAAAGATAAGACATAAACCATAAAAATTAGGTTGTCACTTAAAGTGACCTTTTCAGACAAAATAACTTATATCTAAACATGATGTCAAACATAATAAAATAATACAAGCTGACTTTTACTCCCTCGAAGCTACTTTTACCCCCTTCAAATGCTCAACCAAACAGACCAGTCAGTTTATGCATGGGAATGGGTGAAAAACCATCAGTTATTAGCAAGATCAAGGGTTAATGCTCGCATCTTGGTTTCCCTTCTTTCTCATTGTTTTTCACCGACCACGCTCTTGGGGCATTCTTAGTTTCTCTTCGTTTCACTGGGTCATGGGTGAATCACAGCTTCATCATACTCGCACACCAGATATACAAATCATCTTCTTTTTCGGTTAGATCTTCATTATCTTCACTATTTCAAAGCATTAGACGTGCACACACTTTTGGTTTGTACTCTGTTTGTGTCGTCTTCATCTTCTTCTTCATAATCTTCTCCTCTTCTTTTGTGTTTTAGTCTTTCCCAAACCCGTTCGGTTTCAATCAACATGTACCGGTTCGCGGGACAATTCTGGATTCTGCCTCAAATGCCAATTCCAAACGGTTCAAGTTGAAATAGTGTAAATGACGCTAAAATGATGATGCAGATTCATGCTATGGCATTTAGTTAGATCTTGTATAAGTAAGATATGAGGGGGAAAAAACTGACCTTTCAAACGTAACTCTATATAATTGTTCTATGCGTTGCATTTTCAGAACCTGTCCTTTCTTTTTCCCTACCATCCACACCAGATTTACTTACGTCCTATCGAGTGAGTTTACATCATTCCTTTAACATCATTTGTGGCACTTCAACACTTTCATATTGTTTACATCAATTTAGCAGATTTTAATGACTGCATATTTCTAAAGACTGATGGACTAAACTACAAGGACTAAAACTAAAGATTTGAAATTTGAGGTGACCATAACTAAAATGGACTCGAATTTTAAGAACATAAGATTATATTATCCCAATATGATTTTACTTTGATAGGAGATGAATTGATGCCCTATTGTTTTGACCCAAAATCCCATGGCATTTCAACTAAGCTGAAAAGACTGATCGCTCATATCATAAAAGTGAGTTTTCTTTGCATCAAAACAACTACTAACAACATATTTAAGAGGCATATATAAAACTAATTAGCAAATATTGAACATTGAACACAATAGAAAAGCACCATAACTGATTGGGAACTTAAAAAAACCCACCTCAAGTGAACAAGAAATATAAACCAAAACATATATCTTAGACTTGTAGTACCATGGTCGTTCAAATAAGTGTTAGAAAGACAAAACATCAGGTTCTTTGTTTATTAGGAACAAACTCTCAACATAAGATCCAACATAAGCTTCAGAATATCCCTGACGTCCCACAGGCTCCAACGATCCATTGATTGGATCAATTAAAGTAATAACTTCACTTGCAAGTCTCACAACCACTTTTCCACCACGAGTTAGAGCTAATATGTCTAATACGCCCCCATAACATTCTGAATCACATTGGAATATTTCAGTCCATGAATCGATAATACCATATTTTTTCATCACCCAAACACTGAACACCCGTCGGTTCCTTTTCATAAAATGATTCACCACGGAAAGCGAATGGCCTCCTTCCACAGCAAGTAATGTTGACTCAACCTCCCTCCACTGTTGTGGTAACATTAATTCTCCAAATGTCTCTTCATTTACATCAAATGACAAAATAAATTTGTACCATGGACCATCACATCTCCGACGACCAACAACCCAGTGTACCGCCCCATTCACAGTTACAGGGGTAAACCAATGGCGTAAATAACAAATGAAAAATGGTGGAACTGTAACATCAATAATTCTCCAAGAACGAGAAACAAGAGAGTACACCTCAACATGAGGAGTATCTTGTTTATCGCAAAGAATCATGAGTCTAATGACCTTGTAATCGTTGTTCTTGGAATCAAAACCAAACCCAAAATGTAGACGATACTTGTCATCAAGTTGACTTTTGCCGTTTTTGCAGGTCATAATTGGTTTGGGAAGCACCAAATATTTCCGAAGCAAGGGATTCCAAATAAGGATGGTTGCGGAATGGAAGGATGAATAGTCAGCAGCACAGACGATGCCATTGCATGTGCCAGCAAATATTTCAGGACGATCCCGCCGAAATAGATGAGAGAGTGGGAATCTCTCTACAGAGAAGTGGTCGGTTTGCTGATTAACTGAGTATAATGAGTAAAACTGCTCTCCATGAAGATGAATCTGCCCTTTGTATCCTGTAAGAGAGAACTGAAAAAAGAGGGAGCCCCGGCTATTGGAAGCTTGGATTGTACGGTTGAGATGATCAGATACGAAAGTTCGATTTGTGATGAGGGAATTCCAAGCTCTGCAAACAGTGATGAATTTCACAAGAGACTTGACGGGTAGTCTGTGAAGGATTTCCTCCACAATTTCTTGGGGTAAACGATCAGACATATTGCTTTAGCTTGCAAATCTGGACACTATCCTTCACTCCACTACTCTTTAGCATAAGAGAAGCGAAGGTAATAGTTTTCTGGGGTAAAAGGCATACAGACTTTATTTATAGAAAAAAATGACTCCAATGGAAAATATTCTAGGAACCTAATTCTATTCCAATCAATCAACCAACCAACCAATCAATTGATCAATCAATTATATTATTAAAAATTTGTAATATCAATTCGTTTAAAGATAGATCGGATATGAGATTATAGGATTAAAGTATATTTAATTGATGAAATTTAAATAACATTTGATTGAGATTTCAATAAATTGAGTTAAATAGGAAATATTATAAATAAATGTAATTTCAAATAGAGATTCAAATGAAGAAATTAATAATTAATTTTAAATTTAAATAATATCTTAATTAAAATTTGAATATATTAAATTATATCATAATTAAATAGTATGTCAATAAGAGGTTTAAATATATAACTAAATAATTAATTTCAAATTTTTATTTATTCCCTATAATTTTGCATCTCTATTCAAATTCCGTTAAAATGAATAAAAAATATATTCCTACTAGAAATAAATTTTCAACTATCTTAGATAATGTAATTTATTAAAATTTTAAATATAATCAAATATACTAATTAGCGCATTGCCCATAGAGAAATTTTTAGTTTAATTTAAAAACTCAAAAGATACGGATTAGAAAAATCATAGATGGATAATACTTCAGCAGTAAATAATTAAAGATATCTTTTAATGGTCCAATTTATCAATTAATGTTATTAGGATTAAATAATATTTTAGGTTTTGAACTAAAGAATTAATCACAAAAATAGGTGAGAGTACCAATAAAAAAATTTTCTTTTATATATTATTTTCTTCTTCCATTAAATCTTCCATCTTCTAATTTTGTATCTCTCTTCGTCAAAATAAGTCCGAAAATTTTTTAGCTTAAAAAAGCACCGACTTTTGTTCTCCTACCTAGCGCAATCTGACATGATAATAGGTTAAACTTTAAAGTGCACTCTAAACGCCCTAACACTAGAAATAATTTTTCCAGCTACGTCTAACAATTTTATGGGAAAATTAGAGAGAATAATATTTATTAGAGAAGACAAAAAAAATCATAGCTATTTAAAAAAATAAATATTAAAATATAAATATATAAATATTAAATTACCCCTCCTACATTTACGCCCACATTCCCTATTCTATTTTAAAAATTATGCAAAATTTCAAATTTAACGGATTAAAGCAAATTTCCCTGCAATTTTAGAACTTCGTAAATATCTAATTAAAAATAATACAGGAGCGTGGTTCAGATATAACGAAATTAGAATTTTATTTTTAAAATACCTACTAAGTAAGTTTAATTATGTAATTAACAAGTTTTAATTCTAAATTAACAACTTTATATATGTCTAGAAATCACACTTGCAATAAATTTCTTAATAAAAATAGATCATAATAAAATTTTAAAAATTAGCAGTTTTAATCACACAGTTAACATATTTTAATTTTAAATTAATTACTTGAGAACAATAAAAAATTCTCATTTCTCTAGGTTTTTAAATTA